TAGTCATTACGCTAACTGCTGGTCCCTTGATTTTTATATAATAAAAAGCATAGAGATGCAATTCTTCCTAGATCTTTTGTTTGTTTGTTTTAAACAAAGAAGTGAACACTCACCCTTCTAGGTCAGGACAAAACCTCACAGTCTCTTTAATGCTTCCTTCACTGTCTCCATGGAATCTCTTCCTTTCTTCACAGTCCAAGCCTGAATTTGAACACTTTCCAGATTTTAGTGAACCTATTTGTTATCTGGTATTCTGGATAGTCTGAGAGCTCCTTTAGATCAGGAACTTTGATATTTATTTATTTATTTATTTATTTATTTATTATCTTTTTGTAACAGTCTCTTACAGGAAAAAAACAGAAAAAGGAAACCTAACACACTTTTATGATTGCAATACATTCTTTAGAGTTTTTTTTTTTTTTTCCAAAAGAAATACATTTTCCATCTACTAACAATGCTAATGGCAGTTAAACACAGTGAAACTTTCACCACAGACTTACAGTGATTTTTCTCAATTCTAGACTTTCTAAATGCAACCTTCCAACCTTCATTCCAAAAGTGATTTGCTTTTATTGTGAATCTGGCATTAGAACCACAAGAATCTTTGAATGATCTGCAGTGGGAGTCTCTCTGCTTTTTGCTTCTCAGAGCTTTTATCAGAGAGAGCTTTTACCCTCCTTTTGCTTCCCAACAGAGGGGGCCAGGTAATATCTGTTATTAAATACCTGTGTAATAAGCTGTAAGCTTTCAGACCTTCCATTTATTATGTATGTTGAACTTCACATTCGTGATTATCAGCTCGTAACCAGAAGTCCAAGCTTGAACCGAAGTTTAGCTGCTTTTTGCAGGGAAGCTAATACTCCAGAAGCAAGTGTTGGTGGAAAGAAAACAACATAGCTTTATTCTGGAAGCCAGAACCTAGGAAAATGGTGGAATAACATCCAAAGACCATCTTCAAACTTACATGTTAGTTTTTGGTTTTTGCTATAGGGCACATGCACTTACAAGAGACAAAGAGAGACAGAGACAGGGAAAGTGAGAAATTGCCCCCTGGCGGATGGCCAAGCTATAATCCCTTCTCCTCCATTTTCCTCTCGGCATTTCAGGCATGCATGCACATGCACCCTGCGTGGTTTTCAAGCCTTCAGGTGCATGGACTCTAACCATGATCAGCCAAGCAAGAATCCAGTGCCTTATTCACCATGCCATCTGCGGGTCCCTACACAGGGATTTTTAAAACAAAAGACAGTGAGGATCCATGTATTCACTCTGCAGTATTTAAGCTGAAAAATACTTCTCAGCTCATCATGTGGGAGAGGGCTGGTGGCATCTTCTTCTTCCCTACGTTCAAAGCTGATATCTGCAAAGATTCAGCAAGGTTATTATTCATCTCCATTGGTTAGGCTTTAGACTTGGTGTATTGTGAGGAAGGTGAAAGGTTGGGGTCTGTAAGGAAAGTGAAAGACAAATTAAAGACTGATTTTCCTAAAAGGTAATCTATTAAGATGAACTCCAAGACTAAGTACAATTTGGAAGCACTCTGTTTTCCTATGACTTAGTTAAAAACTTGCAAACCAGTAAAAGATGTAAACCACGGGAGTGTGCTAAGAAGAAAAACATAGAATTGTGTTTTTACGTGTCCTGTTATTACTAATATGCTCAACTGAGCATTTTAACATGTGTAAGAGTAACCTCTGGTAGCATAAATTCTACTGATGATACTTAGGCCCTGTGAATTGTGTAAACTTTGCATGCTTTCCAGTTCGTCTCTCTCTCTCTCTCTCTCTCTCTTTTTTTTTTCTGAGACATTTTTTGCAATAGGGTGCATGTGCTTTATGTAAGACAGAGAAAGAGAAAGGGAGAAGACACCTTCGAGGGGATGGACATGCTGCAATCCCTCTCCTTCATTCTCCTCTCAGGATTTTGGGCATGCACACACACATACGTGCCCAGTGTGAGTTTCAAGCCTTTAAGTACAAGACTCGAACCACATTTGACCATGTGGGAGTCCAGGCCCTAACCACTATCCCATCTGTTGACCCTGTAACCGCTGTCTTCAACAACCCTCTTTTACGTTTAGAGAGCTGTATTTAATATATAAAATATAGTAGCTTATTAGTGCAATGTAAAAGAAGACAAATACTAATTCATCTAAAATGAGTTGAATTTCTACAATGCACTAAGCTTAAGAAAGGCAGATGTGAACACCGGAGTGACCAACTGAAGTTTGGACAGGACTGTCCTGGTTTTAACACAGAAAGTCTTACATCCTGAGGAAATGCTCAGTCCCAATCATCCTAAGTCTGCAAAGCTTTTACTGAATTATAAAGGTTAATTTCAATTCTTTTAAAATTCCCTGTATTTTTACTTTTTCATTGTTTTTTATTTCTCAAAATAGTATTTAAAAGACAACTAAATAAAACATCTCTAAAATGTGTATAAAGAAAGTATATATCTTCAGGGGACCAGTAGAGGTTGTAGTGGTTAAGGCCCTGGAGTCCCACATAGTCAAGTGCAGTTCGAGTCCTGAGCCTGACAGCTTGAAACTCAGGCTGGGTGCATTTATGTGCATGCCCAAAATCTGGAGAGGAGAATGAAAGAGAAGGAATTGTGGCATGGCCATCCTCCTGGGAGGTGATTTTTCACTTTCAGTCTCTGTCTTTCTTTCTTTCTTTTTTTTTTTTTTACATCTTTTTTTTTTTTTTTTTTAGTGTTTTTCTCTTTTGGGCGT